TGAAGGAACTCAAGTTACTGCCTAAGGTTATTTTCATTCATTTTTTTAATTCCAGTGTACCAAACACTTGTAGTCAGTGTATGTTGAACTAAGTCATATGACCATAAGTAAAACCTGAGCTGGTAATCTTCCTAATAGAGGATAACAAATCTACTACTAATTCAAAAGCAAAGAACTCACTGACTTCTCAAAAGGTTTTAGCCCTCTGCTCCCAAAGTTTTGAAAAGCTCATGTTTATAGACATTGATTCATGCATATATACACAATTTAGGTTGACCTGTCACGTAGTCCTGTATTTCAGTGACATGCTTCTTGAATTCTCTTTTTAAACCGAAATTTACACCTTCTCCACCTACTAATCTACAATCTGGGTTCAAATCTATGGGAGCTTTACTGCTAATTGTGAGAGCTTTGGTTCAAGTCTGTGGGAGGCTTACTGTATGCCTGCCTCAAGGAATGCTGTAGCAATACCAAATGTGTAATCTTGGTTTTTTTCAATGCTTTACACACACTCTCAAAGTTCTTCTGATTCTTGTCCAACAAGTACTTATGCAGTATTCCTAGATGCAAATCACAATTGGTAAAATGAGCACTTTGAACATGCTTATTTAAGGCCTTTTTCCTCTTAGCTAATTGGAACTATACTTGACTTTTAGAAAACCTGTATTACAAGGCTTTCATGTGTGCCATGGTTTCAGAATGTCTACATTGCATAACATATTCATCTACCTAGACTGCTATGCTTTCCTTAGTACTGGGAGGTCTGCACAAACTCTTTTTGTATTTCACTTACAGTCAATTTTAAATAAATTAATCTACTCCTTATGCCTCAGAACAGATAGTGAAAATAGTTGCCTTGAAACACTTGATATTTCAAAATTTTAAACAATTCAGATTTTCTGAGCATCCACACTTTGAGCTACCAGCTATGGAGAAGATCACAGCAATGAAACCGTTGGTTTCTGCCTGCTTGAATCTTTCCACATAATGGAAGTGATATAGAAAAACTGGAGATCCTTTACTCAGTCCCTCTCAAGGTTATTTCCCATTTCTGTTTGTGAACATTCCATGAAAATGTTGGAGGTATACAACCACTGTTGAGTAGTGTTGGATACTTCAATTTCACTCCAAAAGCTCTGTTACATGTCAACATAGTTCAGGACATTACTCATTCCCATGCTGAACCTGTGACATCTGGCTATTTCTTGTCCACTGTTTAGTTGGACCTCACCAAGTACACCCTTTGGGCAATTATTCCTTCACTATTTCTTCTCATTCTTTTAATCCCATTTAAGGCAAAATACGCTATCTTTTTTTTTTTTCCTAATCCTAATTTATTTCTATTTTAATACATGACACTCTCAAGGTCTTTTCTGCTTGCTCCAACCATTTGTGTCATGAATTTATCTGAATCTCAAATTCTCTTTTCTGCTGGCTCTACAGTTAACCTGCAAATAATAAGTCATTGCAGCTTCACCTCTTCTTTGTCTCCTTAAGTTCATGCCTCAGTCCACAGACTTCTTAGTCTCTTTCCGTTTTGCAAGCGTCCCTTTATATTCTGTGCACCGTAAACATGTCTCTTGAATCATTGCTTAAATTTATTTAATCTTTTTTTCTTCTTCTTCTTGTCACTACCTTTGTCTGGTCAATGCCTCTTTATGATCCTATCTGAGGATCTTCACCTTCTAGTGTCCAGTATCACTGGTGTCACTAACCCCTTCTTTTACCCCATAGGAATAATAAGTAAGAATAATACCGACTGTATTCAGTCCTGGACTTAAGTTCCTCAGTTGCTTCTGGCTGGCTTCAGGTAACTACCACGAGGTGATGATAAGATCCTAGGTTTGCAGTTGAACCTTTTTATTCCTCCCTCACCAAACAACATGTCTTAACAATGTTTGCTGGAACAAGTTATTCTGCCTTAGTATTTAAGCTCTTGCTTCACAGCTGTAGTCATGAAGGTTAGTCTTAACTGGTGTTTCAGGTTGACCTAGAATGTCTAGTCCTTCTTTCTCATTTCTCACACAGTGCCTCTTTGGGAATCAAAGGCAAATACTGTGTCTGTCTCCTGGAATACGTGCTTATCATTCTGGGGGTTTGTTTAGCTTCAGGTAGTCTCATCTGAATAGAAACTAGGGGATTTACCAGCAGGTAAAATGATGTTTTTCAAATGAGAGCAGCCAGTGACTGGCTTACCAATGGGTCTTTAGCAAGGGTTTGATCCCAGGTATCATCTCAGTCCATCTTTCAGTTGTATCTGGAGACAGATACAAACAGTTACTGTGAAAATTATCTGAGGTGAAGTTAAGGACCATACAATTACTGTGTGGCAGCAGTGGGCAGAAATGATGAACATTTCTGTGGCCTCAGTCAGTAATATGACAAGTTTAATTTTGGGGATTTCAGCAAAATGACAGCGAATCCATCATAGTAAGAAGATTCTGAACAGCTTAAATGGTTTCTTGAAATAAGCAGTCTATAAGAAGTAAAGAAGATGGAAGGTGATGAATTATTTTCTTGTTTTCAGCCTGATCCATGTGGAAACATTCAGTTATTTCACAAATTGCGCTACCGTGCAACAATTACAAGAGTATAAAGCAACAGTTAATATTAGAAGTGAAAAGGAAAATAATTTTTGTTACAACATTTGCTTGGAATAGTTGGAAGAAATGTGTGTTTAAAACAACAGCTGTGAACAAGCTGCTTTTATGGCAGGTTACTCTAGACCTGCAAAAGATGGATTTTTTTCTTCTTTTTTTAATTTAGTCTATTTAAATTTGTTTAGAATAAGAAGATTCTTACCATTTACTTAATGAATTTCTAAAAATAAGTTCTACACATACTAATGTTAGTAAACAGCAGTTATGTTGTCTCTTAATCCTTAATACAGATTTTCATTTAACTAAGCCTGTGGTGTGCTGCAAAATCTTCCTAATACCTCCTTTCTCCTCAAAGCTAGGTTAATATGCAATGGTCAGGAGTCAAGTATTTGATGTCAGTGTTAAATGAGCCTAGAGCTTTCACCAGTCTGCTATTTACTGTGTTAGTGTGGTGTGCTGAAGCAGAAGGCATCATCCAGCACATGGCCACTGAACTGATTTATACCAGTTTGTGGTCAGGCCCTGTGTGGGCTTTCTCCATTTCTTTGTATTCTGTTCTTTCAGAGTTTTCACTTTCAGTAAAGAGTAAACTGGCCTTTTCACTATTTCACCAGACTCTTGCATACTGCAGTAAGTTCATCACGTAGTTTAATGTGAAAGGTAATACTTAAGGCATTTCATTCACAAGTCATATCCACAGAGGGAAAAGAATATATTTCAAGGGTGAGAAGGAACATGTGTCAGAGAATTTTCTGCTAGTTATCCTCTCCTCTTTCTTGCAAGCTTAATCAAAACCCCACTGAAATAAACCATAGCAGGTTATGGGTATAATCCATTGTAGTAGCCTTTAGAGTATTTTAAGAAAAATTAGAGGAAAACACACAATTAACAAATCATAGAATTTTAAAGAAATAAGGTTTTATATAATCTTATCCTTTGCACATCAGCTCACAAGAGATTTTTATATTGTGTTTTGAACTGGTTGGCTCGTTTCATCAAAAGTAAATATGAACTGAAAAGTTTAATAGAAATCAGTAGAAAGAAACTCCTAGTTAGTACTCCATGAAAAGAAAGGCTGCACCACAAAACAAGAGTTCTCTGTCCTGTTTGGCTACAGGTCCATCAATTACCAGAGATAGCTCAAACTCAACATCACATCACCAGATTCATGCACAGGGCCAGCTCATTCTGCAGATTGCTAAGGATGGCAGTAGACCAGCGGGAATAACATGATATGAGAGGAACTTCTGATGGAAGAATTACAGGAAACAAGTTTCCTTTGCCTTGCATTTTGCTATCCATAATGGCCGCTCAGAATATGAATAAGCTTTTCAAGCTTTTTTCTTAGAAAAGTTGACACCTAACTTTATCAATATTTCAGTGGGATTCCTCACAGTTAAAAGCATAGGTAAGTCTTTGTGGACTGAGGCTGTAATCTATTGTGTAAATATTTTGTCAAGTTCAAAGGGTAATGCTGTGGCATGGCCCTGCTGGTGAGCAGTGGGCTATGGAAGGAGCCAGTTTTTGGTGGTGTGAAAGCTAAATGGGACTCCAGTTATATACCTACCCTCCTTCCTTTGGAAATTATGATGGTACAGCACACTATATCTGTTCACTACACGTGTACAGTGTCTTGGAAATGAGTGTTAGTTATTGTTCCATCCTTTTATTTCAGAAGGCTTAGGCACTTGAAAATACAGCACAAGGAAATTTAGAATATATTCTGCATAAGTTTACAGCTTCACATGGATAGACTCCTAAATAAAGCAGCCCTCAGTGAAATGATTAACTTCTTACTAGATACTATCTTCTCACTTCCACAGAACTTGACAACTTCCCTAAATGTGAAGTCAGCTGGTTTTCTTGATCTTGAAAAAAGAATCCACATTCTGTGATCATTTAACTGATTCTTAGCCTTCTTATGTCTTCCAACACATCATTTTGCAATCAATTATGTTGATAATGGAAAAGCCCCATTGAGAGTTATAGCAAAGCTCTTCAGTGTAATCAGAGTACGTTTTTTCTATAACAGTGACTGTCTGAACTGAAGCGGCTGTATTTATGAATCGACAGAAAAGTAACACCTGCTTACACAAGCTATAGAAAACAAAGGCCCTAGTTTTTTGCTGGTTATTTGGAAGACTAAAACTCCCATGCATCAGGCTCATCTTTATGTATAAGCATTCCAAATGAAATTAATGTCTGAAAAAAAGAGAACAAACCAAAGGCAAATGAAACCATTTAATGAGTCAACACCTGTGTTAAAAGGAGACAGTTTTTACAGTGTCAGAGGTGCAGGATCTCTGCTGTTCCAGCACCTCCAGGGGATAGGCTATTAACAGAAACTAGATTTTAGCTGCCAATTCTATTTCTGATTTGGTCTTAAGGTAATTAAAGATTTCATTATTAGCTCAGTTGGTTAGAACATGGTGCTAATAACATCAAGGTCATGGCTTCAATCCCTATATGAGCCATTCACTTGAGAGTTGGACTCGATGAGCCTTGTGAGTCCTGTCCAACTCAGAATATTCTGTGAAATAAAATGTCCCTCGGGAAATGTTTTTCACAGAAAGGGGTGAAATAGCTGCACAGAATGAAACTTCCCTTAAGGCTTTTAGCAGGAGTAGCTCACTTTTCCCTATAAAATGAAATATAAATTTACCTACACTGCCAAAAATCAAACTGACAACCAAGGAGAGAGAAGGTGTACTCATGAAATCACTGTAGGAGAGTTTACTGAACATTTAGCCCTTCAGCAAATAGAAAATAACTCTACACTGATGAGGCAGTAGATTTCCATTTGCTAAGGTTAAAGTTTCATTCTGCTGAAGTGTCTGGATTTAAAACTGCATGGTAAAAGAATCAGATTAATCATTACCACTGCTGAAGAGGATAAACAAAAACAAACAAACCAAAAACATACTGAGTACTTCCAAATTACGGGTTTCTGAGGAAATCTGGTCATCAAAACCATATTTCAACAGCAATATGTCATAAAATACCAGCTTTGCCCGAAGCTCAAACATAAGGATCCAGATATACACCTCTTATTTTACCTCATACATATTCCCGTGTCTCCATTTTGTATTCAATACAGAACTGGAACTGGTAGTTGGAAGCAGCATGAAAGAAGTGACTACATTGGCAATAGCAAAAAATTGCATAAATTCAATTTGTTAAATTAAGTTTGTGATTTGAGTTATTGTGACTTACAAACCCACCATCTATTACAAAAGGTGAATTTTTCACAAAGTGACCTGAAGAATGAAAATGAGAAAATACTTTCAATTTCTTCCAAAGTAACAGTCAGGAATAAGTTCAAGTACTAATTGGTACTGCTGCATAACAGAATTCACAATAGGATCACAGCCACTGTCTTTAGAAATGAGTGGGAAGTGAATAAGAACAAAGAAGGGAGCTTTTAGAGGGCTCAATGGGCAAATTAAAATCCAGCATTAAGGGGGAGGTATGCATATGAGATTGGGATAAGTAGAAGTTGCCAGAGGAAAATCCTACTTTCTATCGCATTCCTTATTTTACATGAGAAATCAAGAAAAACTAAGGCTGCTGCACATGTTCACTGCAACATCTGGCTGTGCTAGCAGAAGCTGTTGTCTCAGCTGACCACCTCTCCCTCACCCTTCATATTGCAGCTTACTGCCCCTTCTAATCTGTTCCTGAGCTGCTTATACTCCTGTCAAGGTAAGCGGGGCTACCCCGGCCAGTAATCCTTTTCTGACCTGTTGCAGTAAGCTCCAGGTAGGGAAGGAACAATTTTGCAAATACCTTAGGTAACAGCTGGGATGGAAGGGGAGTGTCTGGCAGCAGACCTGCCATGTCCTTTTAGCTGACACAGTCTGGAGCTGGAGAAAGAGAGTCCATTGTCTGGTTCTTCAGAACGGGTGGTGATTGATTTCATATGCAAAAGATAAAAAACATAAAGCACCAGCCTTTAATGGTAGAAAAAGTGGTGTAAGGGTTTTCTTTACGAAAGAGAAATCCTTGACCAAATCCGTATACCACAGACCTTAAGTTAGGCCAAAGTGTTATATGACTATAACTGGCAAAAAAAAAAAGTGAAATTAACATTGCACCAAATGTAAAATAGTGTATAATTGGACTAGCAGCAAGTTGTAACAGCCTTTTCCCTAAATATACAGTTCTTATTGCTTATCTATGTCAGATGCAAGACCAGTGACTGTTACCAACATCTAAGGAAAGAGAAATGACAAACTGTAATTAAAGGGTCAGGTGAAATCAGAATCAAATCATATTGGAAGCAACCCTAAAGATCATCTAGTTCTAACTCCCTCTGCCATGGGCAGGGACACTCTTTGCTAAACCAAGCTGTTCAGAATCACATCTAGCTTGGCCTTGGAACACTTTCACCAACAGGACATACACAACTTCTCAGAGAAACCTGTTCCAGTACCTCACCACCCTCAAAATAAAGAATTTCTTCCTAGTATCTAATCTAACCTGTAAAAAGTCCTTGTCCAGCTCTCTTGCAAGCTCCCTTTAGGTACTGGAAGGCTGCAATAAGATCATATGCCTTCCCCAATCTTCTCTTCTTAAGCTCAATAGAGGTGAAAGACCAGTCACTGTGCTGGTCTGGGTGGCATGCTGAAATGCACCTTCAAGTTGCAGCACAATACATAGCAGTACCTAATGCTTGGAAGTCCCGAGAGAGCAGATTTTTGTCATTTGACACATGGTCCCATGGAGGTGAATGAATCACTGCCAGCCAAGTAAAAAGACAGAGGGATGATTAGGCTTTGGAACTGCCTGACTGGGAACGTAATGAGAAGCACACTTAGATATCTCTTTCCTTGAAAAATGACCACATTGTTTCCAGGCTGCACTGCAATTCATTTTAAAAGAAGCAACTGTCATGGGACATCTCTCAACAGGTATGGTAACAACCCCAAAAAATTTCACCTTCTCTGTAATCCCTTTGGACAACAGTGCTGGTGAAAATGTCCCAATCTGATCCAGCATGGCCTCTGTGAAGGCTTGCTGACAAAGGTGTCAACATGATCTAGAGGCCAGGATGTGTCCCAGTGGTCTGTTTTAGGGTCTTTGCTGGCTGTGGGAGGAAGGAAGTATCCCCTGCAAAGGATATGATTAGAATAAACAAATCAAGACATAAGGATTAACTCACCTGACCAAGCTATGACATAGTTATTTTCATGGGATAAATTAAACAACTTAGTGATTAATATAGGCCTTAAAATTATTTACTTCAGTCCTCTGAGTAACACAGGTCAAGGGACATCCATTATTTAATTTGCTTCAAGTCCAATAGATGTTGCTGAATTAAAGCATGTCTACCAAATAAAAAAACCCATGTTAATTTAATTCTTTTTAGTGATGGGCAACCCTTGACAGATTATTTCAAGAGTTAATATGTACACAGATAACTAATGAGAACATTATTTATGGTCTGAAATGGTTTAGCTTCATCTTCCAGTCACTGAATTTCATTATACATTCAACAGCTAGAGTTGACATTTATAGATTGTGATCAGGGGGCCTTTAATCTTTGGTCATTTAAATAGAACAAGCTTTTAAAATCTATAAAATCTATAAAAGGTTTTGTAGTATAAATCTATAACTTTTTTGGATCTTTATTTGTTTGAAAGCAGTATTCTAGTAATTGTTTTACCAGCAACCTATAGGAAAATACTGTGAAAGTATTGCATCTCTTTTCTAGCCCTGTGTTTGTACAGAAAGACTACCAAAACTGATCTCCAAATTTCTTTCTACATTTCTTTTCCCTGAACACTATTGTGGAGGTATGTTCTTTGTGCCTGAAGTCATAGTCTTATGACTAGTGTAGCTGAGCACCCTTTTCTGTGATCAAGCTCTTGATGTCCCACTAAATCACTGTGTCACTGCTCCTGTATCCCCCTGGCATCTCCATTGGACTCATGGGTAGGTGTTAAGCCTCTTCACAGAAACACAGTTTTTTAATTGAGATGCTACAGCTGAGAAGTAATAGATCTTTAAACAGCTCTTTAACTGTAATTTTCTTTGTTAGTTCTGCTCAGTCTATTTCTGAAGGACAAGACAGTGAACTTAAAACGTTATTGAAGGACCTTTGGTCTTAATTATCTAAATGCAAATAGGCTGTAGAATGCAATCATTTTTAAAGAAAATAGTTGTTATATATGCAAATATTTTAAAATAAAGTTATTCAACTAAAGTTGTTAATACTTTTGTACTGTCAACACTTTTGGCCAGGAAAATATGGCATAGCTATTCTATTGAAAAGGAGAGTTGTTTTAAAAATCTTTCTTGTAACATATTAACTGAAAATGTTCTTTCTTCTTTTTTTTTCAAATTTTTTTTTATTCCCCCCCAGAAAAGCAGCTCATAGATGTTAGGTTAATGAAGCTGAAGGAATGACAAAAATAATTGTGATGTGATGTTGCCAGATCCATACCAAAACATCTGAGCAGGGATGCTATATGAGCAGCTGGTGAGGTAGACTACTGGTTCCAGTTCAGTATGAATCTTTTTCAGAAGGATCTAGGCAGGAATGGAGGGACATTTAGACAGACATCACAACTAAGTTGACAGTAAGACAATTAGGTGGGTCATGAGGGTCTTCAGCTGACCAACACCAGGTTTCCATAGACTCACACTAATGTCAGCCTTCTACAGTGCAGCAGCCACTCCACAGAAAACATTTATCCTGGAAGAAACCAGTTTTAGCTGTGGCTGAAAAGTGATTTCTCAACAGAAGGGACAGCTAATCTGCTACTGCCAACACATCTGCCAACAGATCCTAATGTGCCCCTTTGCACTGTCAGCAGCTGTTTGCCCAGGAAGGAGGCGTTGGGAGTGTGCTTGTATGTGCATGGGGAGGGCACTGACAACAATCAGTGTCATCAAGCTTGTCTAATAAATACTCCTGTAATGTCTACTGCTGTCTTCCATTTTGCAATACCCTTAGGCTCAATTCTCAAATCCCTTCAGTGTCCATCTCCCCTCTCTCCTACTATTGCAAAGTAAGACATCCTCAACCTCTTTTCCATGCTAAAATGATCCTCCACTCTATACCTCTTTCTCTTCCTCATTCCCAAATCTCTTTTCTGCCAAACTACCAAACTTTTCTCTTACAAGGCTGTCTTGGTTTGAAAGCAAAACCAGTGAGAGACTCTAAGTCAGTAATACAATTTTAATAGGAAAAAAGAGAAAAAATAAAATACATGCAATAATACAAAAGAAAAACCACTGACAGAGTCAGAATACAGCCTGACACCCTGTCAGTCAGGGTGTTAGTAGCAGTCCGTGTAAATGGTGGCTGCATCCTCCTGGATGACAGATGTGGTTCAGTTGAAGCAGTGCTCCTGTAGAAGGTGCAGTTTTCCTCCGAAGGTCCAGCGATGATGTGGAAAAGGTCGAACTTTCCTCTGGGATCCAGTGGAAAGGGCTGCTTTCATGTTCTAAACCCCAGTTTTTTATCTAG